TCTCCTGCTTGGAATCACAACCCACTAAGAGCCAGATGAAATGATAGTCATCATTTCAAACAAGGCACTGGCAACTTGACTACAGAAGAAACTGCACACACAGAGGATGGCTCACAATGCTCTCTAATGACATCATAGAAGGGGAGCTGGGATATTTCCAGAGTCCAGACTTTGCTCCTGGTTAGTATTCATCTTGAATTTAAACTACCATTCCTCTAATATCTGCAGCATTCTGTCATCAATAATCAAAAATGCTAAGAATGAACAATCATATTTAAACTATTGGCATCAGCATCCAGACTGAATATGAAGACATGAAATAAATCGTATTGCCTGCCCTGTGTGCTACTCTAAGGAATGACAAAGACAGCATTTTTTTCTTTCCTTTCCTCCTTTGAGGTCATCAGGCATCCTTGAATAGCTGCTCCCATCATGTCAATGCAGTAAAATAGCTGTTAGCTGAAAAAAGGTACTGACCGGGTCATAAGTAATCAGTTTTACTGCTTTCTGTGGAAGGACTAATACAATCTCTGGGAATCCCTCTCTACATGACAGCTTTCACTAGGAACTGCTAAATTTGTGCCAGGCTCTGAATTTGGTTTCAATGACTCTCCAAAGTCTGAGCTCTACTTATGAAAAATAATAGGTCTTCAGTTTTTGATACTTCTGTTATAGGATGTCCATTTTATAATACAATATAGGATAACTGAAAAATCTTTGATCCATCTGTTCCCCCAAATATGCATAACACATTTTTAAATACAAGTTCACTTGAAAAGGAGTATGTAATAATTATTTCAGAATTTCTTGCCAGTAATCCAACATTACATCTTGTTCCATTACATTTCAATTTTCAAAAGAGAAAAGGAGCAGGGTTAAAGCAAAACATATATTTCCTGAGTATCATCAGGCTAGCAAAATACAGCATCTAAATGTCTTGGGTCAGAATTGATAGTGTTATAAAGGCATTTAAATCAATTACTACTAATGATTTCAACAGGGAAGAAAAGCATAAATAAAATCCACAATGGTCTCTGGGGTTTGTATTTTTTAAATGTAGTACCACAATATGCAATATTTGTCATTCCCTTCTGTGCTTTTCTCAGTTCAGAGTGAATGCTGCTTGAGGAGCCCCTGTTTCATGGCCAGTGACCAGAAGCAGGAGGCTGAGTGACCCGCTAGGGCCCCATACTTGGTAAACATGGGTCGTCGCTACATACAACCAAACTTGGCAAAAGTCAAGTCAATCTAAATTACCACGAAACAATGGAGATACTGGAAGGGATGCTGAGCATGACAAAGGCGACCTGGGAAATTCAGTTCTTACTGGAGAGAGAAGAGAGTTAACATGAATTGTTCAAGTCCTGGTCATCTCTCGTTTAGTAGACCTGGGGCACAGCCCCACATGAGGAGAGCTGCTCCGAGACACACTCAGCTCCTGGCACCCAGACTGGTGTCTGGTATGTATGGGGAGGTGTCCCAAATCTCCCTTTGGAGACAGAAATGATGAATTCACTGGATCCATCCCAACCAACACGCCCTACAGAGAAAACACTGGTGTGGAAAGGACACCTGAGACTAATCCAAGCCAATGACACGGGTGAAGAGTCGCTGCTGCAAGTGGTTTCACACGAAATGCTCCTGAAAATGAGGGAAAAGTTACAAAGAAGCACCAACATATGTGCAACCTCAACAACAACCAGTGTGCGCTGAGGGGGTTCACATAAGAAAGAACCAAGTTGGAACTGAAACTTGAAAAAAGGAATTTTAAAATCATTTTATTTAGAAAATCGGAGGGGATGGGGGGAGAAAGAGACTCATGAAGTAGAGAAAGACAAATGACCTACTCTAAGCTGAGTTGAGTGACTCCAGAACAAAGTGCCTCTCCTCTGACGTCGACGGAAGATAGGAAGATGTGTGAATAGGGTCCCTGGGCACAAAGGATTCCCTGGGATAAGGCTCTGTCTATAGCTTCAAAGAGGATCTGCCACACTGATTCTACCAATCAATCCAAAAGAAACATCAGGGTTTTGATAACCAGGGATAATTAAGGAAATGGGACACCCTCTGCTGAAATGTCAACCCTCTGATCCAGTAGATCCCAGAAGAATTCAAAGATCGAACCTCCCAGAACTGTGTATATAAATCATGGATCCGAGAACTGTGTGTGTAGATCATGGATCTCCAGAACTCTATACATAGATCATGGATCCTGGAACTGTGTATATAGATCACGGATCTCCAGAACTGTGAATAAAGGTCATGGATCCTGGGAACTGTGTAACATAGATCACAAATCCCAGGAACTGTACAGATATCAGATTCCCACTGGGGTCATTGGTGATGCTCGGACTGGGATGACTGTGCTCCCTTCTTGCAATCTCTCACCCATCTGACCTTCTCGCACAGTGGCTTCCTTCTCTGTTGGTGTCATATATGAGGCAGAGGAAGCCTGGCTATGGATCTGACCCAGTCTGCCCAGAGCACTTCACGGTACCCATTGTGGTGTGATACTGCTTAGGGGTGATGAGCTCCCAGGTCCACCAAAGCCTCATCACAGCAGAGAGTGATCAGGTGGGCTCTTGTGCCATGCTCAGGGGACTTTCTTCTCCCTGTAAATTGTTTCCTCTGGGTTAATGCTCATCATTCCTCAACTAGAAATAGGACCATGCACTACACAGGGACCTCAGCATGGGTTCAAGTGTGAAACTAAAGCACAGTTCCTAGGGAAAAATCCACTTCTACCTATCTCCAGAAATAACCCTAGAAATCAGTGCACAATCACTGCCGTTTGATGGCAAAGAGGCACAGCTTAAAACTCTAGAGTATACTTGTGCTGTTTAAAATAAGGACCAAAAAAAAGCAGCAGAGAGAGAGAGAGAGAGAGAGAGAGAGAGAGAGAGAGAGAGAGAGAGAGGAGAGAGAGAGAAGATGAGGAGAGGTAGGGAGGAGGAAAAGAAGAAAGTGGAGGGTAGGAAAGAAAAAAGGCAGACAAAGAATAAAGATATTAAGAAACATAAGTAGGACCAGCAAGATTTCAGCAGGAATTTCAAACTTCTGACTTACAGAAGAGCTGCTCTGTGAAGAACATCAGGTAGGGAGAATTATGGAAGTGCTGGATGCATATGTGACCATCAGTCACACAAAAGCAAGCTACCTGTCAGTGGTTATGATACTTAGAATATAGCTAATATTATTCTAAATTGTTTCATAATCTGTTAAACAAGGGGAAGGGTAGGCAAGTCTAAATAGTTTTCCATGGAATGAAGTATGGTGTTAGGGGGGAAAAAAGGGATTCCTGTGCAGCAAACATTCTGCACATTTATCTCACAGAGATATGTCATCAACAGCATGTGAATATTTTTTGGGTGAAAGTGTTCCCCTAGTCTGTCTGAGGCTCAGTCAAGACTGGCTGGGAGGCCATATAAAGCATTCCCACATTCCCATCACGGCCATCACTGCTTTCCTGAAACAGCAGGATCTTAGTGGGAATAAAATTACCTTAAGTGTAGAAAAAACTGGGGTGGGAGTGGAGGGGGGGCATGAATGAAGAACAGCTATAACGTGCTTCCTGGCAAACATTTCTCTTACAGTGTGGCGTGTAAGAAAGCAATGGCATGTCCCAGGAGTCAATGAGGATCCCACCAGGAAGCGCCAGAAAGCCCCGTCTCTGCTCCACCTCCCTGGGTGGAGATAGGACAGTCACACACAGCCTTGTAAGAAGACGTGGCTTGAGCCCTCATCGAGAGGCCCAGAACACCATGCCTCTGTAATCCCCACAGCTGCCAAAGCCTGCCTTCCTTTATCACCTAGACTTTAGGGGAGGGTTTACTCTCTATGGTCGAGTGAACTTCTTGTCCTGAACGCCATGCTCTTCATTACCAAACACAGGAGTTTCTCAACACGGGCACCACTGTTTCTCTACTCTGGGTGTGCTCATCTGACACATTCTCACGGATCTGAAGGGCCACTTATTATGTGTTTCACTGTCCACTCAGGCCCTGACCACAATGAACAGTGATCGGGTTAACACCTTCCCTCTTGTTTTTCACATTCAACCCGCCCATCCGTTATGGATCTGCTGTTGGCAACTGATACCATTTTCCCTTCTTTGGAGACCCTTTAGCACTCCCTCACTCTGATCAATGGCTGATCAGTGATCAATGCTCAGAGTCGCAGGCCCATCACGAGTCTTCTTTGCAGGTACTCTGGATTCTCACGTGGTACAGGTGGAAATGCCATTGCCTTCAGGACAGAGCCGTGGGGGAGCAGGGGTGAGTGGGTGGGAAGGCAACACTGACTGAGATAGATAGGAAACGGAAGGCACCAGAGCTAAGCATCACCCCCCTCTCCAGAACTGGATGCAGCAAATGACGGTGAGGACCCCGGGGACCACTTCTGCATGAACAGCAATGGTCAGCAGAAAGCCAGCTTTACACATCATTAATGCTCTGGGTAGGGGCTGATGGCTGGACAGGGCTTCTATTGGGAAGAAGAAAATTAAATGTAGTTTCTACTTGAATGTTAGTCCTTTGGATATTTGGCCTCAGTGGACATCCTGGGTGTTTGGGATTTTTCTTTGCAAGGAGAAAGGAGATGTAAGTCTAAGTAAATGCTAAGTGAGTGGTTATTTTACAGACTGGCTCTTCAGAATACTACTGGGGACAGGTGGGCTTCCAGGCAATGAAGATGGTGGGGTGTCCCCTGCAATATCCCCAAGTCCCCAAATCCCAATAAGGCTACTTTCTAGCAACCTGCAGAAAACCTTCTCTTCCATCGTGACAGAGCCTTTGCTCTCTGTGCTGACACCCCAGCGTTAACAAGGCAATGGTTTCTAGACCAAGGGGGAAGCATCTCATGTCACTTTTCTTTACTTTTGCAGGTGCAGGAGAGGCTGGAGTCCTACGCTTGCTGGTAAGGATCCTCCCAAATCCAAACACACGACAGCTTCCAAGAATCCCAAAGTATCATCCACATATGGGAAGAAAGGAGATCAAACCCGATGGACCCGTGCACTGCTGGTGGAGGGAGAAGTTTCTCAGATAAAGTGCCTATTCTTGAATTCAAACATCATGAGATTCACGCTCAAGAGCGAAATGATGTTCATGTTTCTGAAGACTGCTTCCGGTGGAGGATGGGAGCGGTGCATTTATTCCAAGGCTCAAGGAAACAAATGACTTATTAGAAAAATTGGACTGAATACAATAAAAAACAACTTCCCACCACAGTTCACTCAACAATGATCAAGTATTGCAGACCAGATTTTTCACGATGCCATATTTAGATTATTGTTGCTTTTAAGGACGTGTATTTTCGGCAGCCATGGGACACATGTGGCTTGAAATGCACTTAAAAATGGATCCAAACCTCATCTCAGAACTCTCCAAAACATGGGTAGTCACGGAGCACAAGGTACTGAGGAATTCCAGGAAGCTCCCGTTGGAAGAGTCATTAGTACTCATCGTAGTTATTCAGATCTGTGAAGTAGGCATTAGAATAGGTCTTCCCAGTAAGATGCGGGTTGAAGTATTTGTTTCTTTCCTCAAGGATCAAGTTGTTTTTGTTAAATGCCTATAAAAAAATTTATAAACACTTAGTAGTATTTCAGAGAGAGAAGAATAGTTAGCAGCGGAGTGTTGATTTTCAGGTCTCTCCTTAGACACATATTATTTGCCTTGCATGTCTCATCACGAAAGGGAGGTAGATATGGGCCTCACAGAAACGTAAAACTATTGATACCAAATTGACTAATACCTTGTGTGTTTGGTAACAGATAAGTGGGGAAAGAGGTGTGCAGCCATTAGGGGAACATGTAGGAGTACTCATCAGAGATGTTCAGTGGACCCCTTTAAGTCAATGCATGTGAATCCTGATTCCTCTCTGCTTCCATTTTCTGAACTATTCAAAGATAATGACTAGAGGGGCTGGAGCAATAGCACAGTGGGTAGGGCATTTGCCTTGCACGTGGTCGACAGGGGTTCAATTCCCAGCATCTGATACGGTCCCCTGAGCACTGCCAGGAGTAATTCCTGATTTCAGAGCCAGGAGTAACCCCTGTGCGTTGCCAGGTGAAACCAAAAAAGCCAAAGATAATGACTTAGAGGCACCCTCCTCACTTCTGGCTGTGAAAGCCACCTGCCCCATCCAAGAACGACGCTCATCCCAGTTTGAGGGCACAGATGGAGGGGAATAGAAGAAACAGGCAGGCTGGGAGGCATGGGTCAACTCTCCAGGACATGGCGGAGCACTGGCAGCGAGTCCCTTACCTTGATGGCCTCCACCGAGTCGTACTTGTCCAGCTTGTTGATGTGGTTGGTGATGCTGGTGTTGAGCGGGGCAGGCGCGACCGGGTGGATGACGGTGGCGTCGTGGGACTGCTGCTGGTAGCGCTGGCAGTAGGTGTAGACGAGCAGCGTGAGGAGGCAGCCCAGGATGGAGCTGCTCAGGCCCACAGCGATCATGTGGAACATGTTGAACTCTGGAAGGCAGCGGTGGAGAGTGAGCCCAGCAGGGCGGGGCGGGGGGAGAGGGGGACCCTGCACTGCCCGCCCCCTCCCGCTGCCCCATGCACAGGGGGGAAGAATAGAAACAGTCCAGAGCCCTGGCACAGCAGGTGGGGCACTTGCCTGGCAGGTGGCTGCCCCGGGTTCAAGCCCTGGCACTCTGTACCGTCCCCTGAGCCAGAAATAAGTCCTGACCGCTGCTGGGTGTGAGTCCCCCCCCCCCCCCCCCACCAACCTCCACCCTGAAACAAACTGAAAGAAAAGAAAGACAAAAGGAAAAGGTCATGCATGCTCCAAAGGCAGAGGCGCTCTAGGTGGGCACTGGAAACGGCCAGGTGCCAGGGAGCTTCTTCTCTAGGAACATCGTCAGGGAAGCATCACTTGGGGCAGTAAAGTCAGCCTTTGGGGACCTCCTCTCTCACCCAGGCAGGTTCTTCCTTAAGAGACTGTGAGCAGCTTTGCTTCCATTGTAATAGTAGCACAGTCTCTGGTCCAAGCTTCCAGGGAATAATATCCACGTCCTGTGACAGGCTGTGTCCCCGAGTCCCAGGGACAAGGGGATTCTGGGCCCATTGCTTCCCACCTCCTCTCCTCAATATTTCTTTTCACTGTGGCTGGAGTGAGTGGACAGTAGGCAGGATGGCTGGCCTTGCCTGCAGTTGATGCTCCCCAGCACCCTCAGAGTCTCCTGAGTCTTCCCAGGAGTGATCCTGAGCACAGAGCCAGGAGTGAGCCGTGAGCACAGAGCCAGGAGTGAGCCGTGAGCAGAATCAGGAGGGTGCCCTGAGCACAGAGTCAGGAGGGAGCCCTGAGCACAGAGCTGGGAGTGAGCCCCAAGCACAGAGACAGGAGTCAGCCCTGAGCACAGTCAGGAGTCATCCCTGAGCACAGAGCCAGGAGTGAGCCGTGAGCACAGAGCCAGGAGTGAGCCGTGAGCACAGTCAGGAGGGTGCCCTGAGCACAGTCAGGAGGGAGCCCTGAGCACAGAGCTGGGAGTGAGCCCCAAGCACAGAGACAGGAGTCAGCCCTGAGCACAGAGTCAGGAGTGATCCCTGAGCACAGAGTCAGGAGTGAGCCCTGAGCACAGAGTCAGGAGTGAGCCCCGAGCACAGAGTCGGGAGTGATCCCTGCACAGAGTCAGGAGTCAGCCCTGAGCAGAGAGCCAGGAGTCATCCCTGAGCACAGAGTCAGGAGTGAACCCTGAGCAGAGAGTCAGGAGTCAGCCTTGAGCACAGAGCCAGGAGTCAGCCCTGAGCACAGCAGCTGGGTGTGGTCCCCAAACAAACATCCTTTTTACTGAAAACACTGTTCATAGACTTCATTCTTTTGTTTCTATTATGCTGGTGAATATGGAGAGACACACAGACATACACACCTCATATTACACTGAAACATGCAAATGAACACAGAGGAGAGAATCTTTTTTCCCCCTTCCTACAGGACACAACTGTAGCCAGTATCTGCTGAGAGTTTCCATGGAAATTCTGAATATTGGTGCAGCTAAAGTACTCTGATACAATATTTAGATGGTCATGGAAATGGTCCTCTTGTTATATGATTCTGTTCTATTTAATAGTATCTATGTTATTTTCTTTACTTTGTGAATATGAATAAATGACAAACGTGAGGACGAGGACTTTTGTTTCTGATATGGGATTGTCTTGAGTAACATCTAAATAAAAAGAGCAGGCCTGTGTAATTTCTGAGTAAAAGGAACCCTCGTTGTGTTGGAGAAACCCTTCGTAGACTGTGCCAAGCCTTTTAGTGGGCCTGTGGCAGTGCTCATGAAGCTGGCCTTGGTGTCAGGGTGCAGAGCAGAACGTGACCTTAGTGATTCCACCCTAGATGGGTCACCTGGTCACTTGCCTCACCGTGTCCTCTCCACCCCTCACACCACTTGAGCTGCTCTGTCGCCTAATGCCCTGATCTGTCCACCTTCCCTGGACAGCCACGGCGAAACCTGCTAGACAGAGTCCAGTCCACTCAGTTAGAGCTTCAGAGTTCTGGCTGCCCCGGGTTCCTAGGGAAAAAGGCCTGCAAGTTGGCCTTATATACCCAGGATGGGTGTAGCTGCATCTTAACCACCTGCGATTCTTCTCAGGGGCTGTCCTGGAACAGAGGCCACTTTCCAGGTAAAAGACCTCCCTACCTATCTCCAATCTTCAAAGAGGGACCTTTGCTTCTTTCAATCAGCATTCAGGAGCTGGTCCCGAGAGGGGAACCCACTTCCCCAGGTGCACAGACCCCACACAGGCCTCCTCTGGTATAGCCAACATAGTCAGGACTGAGTGATCCAGAAGGACATTACTAGAACATTCTACAGGTATCACCATGCCTGGCTCCTCCTCAATGATGAACTATTGATTATTTGGTCCCAGGTTGAACAGAGTGAAAGAGATCTGTAAATCTTTGACCTTTCCTGCCTTTTCCTGAAGACTCCATCTGGTCACTCCTGGCCAGGGGCAGCTAGAGATGCCCTGGGCCATCCATCTGGTTCCTACACGGGAGCTCAGCTCCATGGGAGCAAGGGCTTATCTTACCTCTGCCAGCATCTGTCTAACACGGGCTTTGGGGTCCCCAGGGTGAATTCTCCACACAGATGGAGCGAGTTCTGCTGCATTGATAATACTTTATAGGGGCCCTTGGAAGAGGTGGGGTGCTCTAACCACACAGATCCTGACACTGGGCTCATGAATCATTCCTGCAGGTGGCTGGGGAAGCTGGGGACAGCGACAGCTTTATGACGATTATATAGACTTGGTGTCTCATGCAACTAAAAATAGCTCTCCATACCGACAATTTCCATAGCCTACATTTTCCTGCATCGGAAGAAATAGAGCCCATTAAATCTCTTGAGTTTGCTTGTTGGGGCTATTTGCTTCCGATTTGCTGTTCTGCTATTATTGGTCAGTAAAGCTGAAATAGTGAGTCATGATCCGGTTGCTTTAACCAGCTTTTTTTAATTTTTGGGGTGCATAATTTGGTTATTTGTTTTCTAAAAAACTGAAAAAAAAAAGACTTACAAACTTCTTGTCTCCTGGAATATTGCCAGGCTTCCTGGCTATGGAACTGTTTTTGCCATAAGCCCTGCCTGCTGGTACATGACACCTCTTGCCCACTTCTTCAGGGTACCAATGTCAAGGGTTCTAAATAAATCACAAGTTCTGACTCCCAGAGAGCAAGGAATATGGGGACATGAACAACATTCATGAAGATGGACAATATAGTGCCCAGGAAGGGAGCGCTGGGGTGATGTGGGTAGCAGTGGCCTTGGGAATACGGATGGGGTGTTTTCTGTGTGTTAACTTAAAGAGGGTAGGCTTCTAGGGGGCACGGAGAGATTTCTTCCTCAAAGGGGGTGGTAGGCCAAAGACATTGGGGGAACCTTTGGTCTAGTTAGTAGCCCCTGTGGTTTAACCTGGAGATGTGCAGAATTGGGCAACCTGGTTGTGGCACTGGGAAGTAGTGTTTTATGATGGGCTTTGGACCACTTCTCCTGAACAAACATGGGCCCTGAATCTTAAGAGCAGAACATGGAAAGAAGCTTTGATCTTAGCTGAGCCAGCTGATTGGGCCCTTGTCCTATCTCTTTCATGGCAGATCACTCCCAACCAGCTTCTCTCATGCCCCATTAGCTTAGGCTGCCTCTAGGACAGAAGGCCTTGGTCCCAGGGTTTTGTCCAGGTGTCACCCATCCAGGTCTGTTGGGCTTCAGTCCCAGGCACAAGCCACTCAATTTTGCTACTGGGATCCTTTGCCGACAGCCAGCTCACATTCAGATCTGAATGTTGGCTCCACTCGAGGCCAACTGCCTGGTGGCACCTGAGCCAGAGGCCTCAGCTCTGACCCTCAGAGTCCCCATTTATAAAATGCAAATAAAGACACAAGAGTTCTATGCATGCTCTACAACTCCCTCAACCACAGCCAGATCTCTGAAAACTGATTTCTCACCATGGATTGGCAGCCAACTATGGTCGGCCCCAAGCCCACAGACTTAGCTGCAGAACTAACAGGAACTGGCAAAAGGGACCTGAGTCCCACACTCCATTCACATTTCATGGGGTGATATGCGAGACTGACCATGCGGACCGTAGTGTGCAGGATGCAGTGATACCTATGGTGCATGATTCACTGTGCTAGCCAGATTCAAGGTGAAACATGCTCGACTCTAACTCTCTTCTCCATGTCCAAGGGCTCACCTAAAGATTTAAGGGATCTGGCAGCTAGGTGGACACTCTGTATGAACTAAAATGGGACAGTTCTGGCTACTGAAGTGCCTAGTATACACAGCAACTGATGTCACACTCTGAAGATAGGATGAGGACTTGCTGTTAAGTGCGTATATTCATCTTGTGGTCATAGCCCATGTTGGGAACTGCCATCGTGGATCAAGCATCAGACACAACATGGCTAAGATACCCCCAGTCTTTAAGCAACTGCTGCTGCTTTTGGAAGGGGTTCAAGCTACTTGCATGCCCATTTTTAGCTCAATATCCCTAACACAACAACTGTCACAGAGTGACTTACTCAGCAGACAGAACACAGCAGATGGAGACCTGTTACTCAGAGTAGTTAGCATGGCACGTTGGTTCCTACAGCACACCTTGAAGCAACAAATTCTCTGTGAGCATGAGCAGACACTACAGCCCACTCCACTGCCTGGGACTCCCAGGGATGGATTATGGTGGTGGTGACACAGGTCTCGGTGTGGACGTTGGCTCTATCAGGCCCAAGGTTGACAAAGGCTGGGTGAGATAAATGGCTAATCCCTCTCTTCCACTCAGACAAGACAGACATAGATGGTGAAGTAAGATTTATCACCAACTTCAAGCAGCCAATACGTTTGTCCTTCAGGGTTGTGGGGAGTTTTGAAAACAATTCCTGGAGAGATGTATATACAGCTGTATGCCCCATTATACTTTTGTTTTGGCAGAAATATGAAGACTGGAGACTACAGGTTTGTACTAAGAATATAAAAAAAGTGTCATGATTCTCTTGGGCTCATGAGGCATGTAAGTTGAGCTTATAGTGTGGTGACTGATTCAGTTCATAGGTGAACATGCCCTCGGATCATCTGTGCTGGCTTAGGGAGGGACTTCTCTGACCATGGGGCAGGACTGGAGGGTTTGCATTTCTATCAAGTCCCAGGGGGTGTTGATTTAAGGACCCAATGAAGAACTACTGGCCCAGTTGCCAACCCTTGACTTGGCCTTTGGTAACCGGAATTTCTTTAGCCTGTTTTTCAGCAGAAACATAAGAAACAGATGGGGGAAGGAAAAGCATTCAAACATGTAAGAAATTGATTCAAAGTAGTTAGAAGGGAGAACTTACCTCCACACCTCTTTTCTTCAATGCTACTGGATCTGGCCACGGAAACTTCTGGAAACCAAAAATTCAATCATGATATATTAAGGTGTCGGAAGGAAGTTGGCCTGAACAGTTTCTTTATAAGACGTCTATTAAGTTTTGAATTGTCTTGTGAGTCAAACCTTCCATCGCAATCGATTTGTTCATATATAGGAGTGGTCCTGGCAGTGCTCAGAGGCCACTCCTGGCTCTGATCAGGGGATCATATGTGGTACTACAGGTCACACCAGAGTCATGGGTACTGCAGCCACCGCCTAGGCATGTGGCCAACCTCCTATACCACTTCTCTGGCACAAGTACTATTTTTTCAAGCATGATTTTGTTTCCACCAACCTGTGGGTGGTGAGGTCGCCCAGACATTTAGAGGGAGACTGATCAGCTTAAACTAAGGTCTATTTCCCGAGCGGAAGAAAGGATGCCGTGTTTTGGTCAGGGCTCAACTTCTGGTGATGTTTATGTTGCATCCCGAGATCCACAGGAGGAAGTGAAAAAACTCAAAGGGATATGGCCCTGACCCCATGAGAGCACACGGCAGGCAGCACCATTTCTATGATACAACATGGATTTCACACAGAAAAGCCTTAGCATGGGGCCTGCCATGTCTTCTTCACGGTGACAGGAATATAAGTTTCCTTCCCCACCCATTTAAGGGTTAACTGAAGAGAATGGTCCTTTCATCTGGGCAAACAAAACAAAACAAAACAAAACAAAAAAACAAACAAACAAACAAAAAAAGGTATAGTGTTGTTTAAACATGGCAAGTAACTGCCTCACTTTTATTTTTATTTATTTATTTATTTTTGTAATTTGGCATTTTGTTTCCCAAGCAACTTTTTGTCTCTTATAGTGCCTGAAGTGATGGTGCGCAAAGACAAAAAACAAACCGAAGCACAGCCTTTCGAAGTGTGTGAACGAGAGACCCCAAGAGTGTGTGCTGTAAACAGGACAGTCCGGGGTCAACCCAGCATTGCACGGACCCCAGAACTCTGCTGGGTGTGGGCCCCAAACCAACCAAACAAACAAGTAAAAAAAAATATATCGTGAGTTAGATTTGAGTTTAAATCAACCATTATTTCAAAAACTACACTACAAGCACCTTAATTAAACACCTTAAAATCACACGAGCTGATAATCTCAGCTGTAACCACCAGGACCTCGGAGACAGGCCAAATGCCCATCTCTGAATCATTTCCCTCTGGACTCAGGTTCCTGAGAAGCAACTCTGTCCTCACCTGGGATAAAATTGGAATCAAACACACAAGGCCGGCTCTCTGTGGCGTTTCCAGAGCACTGGTTCCCCACCGGGAACAGGAGGAGGCATTGGCGGGCACGGACCTGGATTCCAGAAGCATCGCAGGCTGACCAGCCGGACCACTCCGACCAGCTCTCTGCAGCAGCCAGAGGAAGAGAGACACATGACAGTCCCCAGACACTCGAGATACACGCACCTCCCAGATTCTACTTTTAACGGATCGCTCCATAGAAAAGGTTTGTATCTTCTCTCCGGTAAATAACTCTTAAGCTTGCATGAAAGCGCTCACATGTCTTGGATCAGACATGATGTGCCAAAAATACATAATTCTGCATCCCACTTTATTTTAATGTTAGACAAATACGTGGGCGAGAGCAGTAATTAGTGACTCCATGCAGAGGCTCCCAGTGATGGGGAACAAAGAAATCACCAGCACAGAAACAGTTTCGAGAGTCCTGATCTGTCCTATAGAGCAGTTCTCCAATGCCTTTCTGGAAAGGTCCCTGCTGGGCTTAGAGATCGAGTCAGAGAGATAACGGGGTAACTGGGGGAGAAAGTCCCACCTCTTGAAAGGGTTTCAAGTCACTACAAGTACTTTCTCCTTTGTTACAAAATAAAAAATAAGTCCACCAAGCCAGGATACAGGGAAGGCTGCACTTGAGATGGAATTCACTTTATCTCTTGTTTACTGTCTGAGAAGAGCATAAGATCAGCGGGTAAGCCTTGGGTTTTGGCCAAAAGTGAAAAAAGGCAAGGCTGCCTACCCAGTGTGGAAGGTTCCAGCACTTGCCCGGATGCCTGAGCTGAGGGCTGGCACTCACATTTAAGGGAGGCAGTCTAAGATATGAACTTGCCACATTGCTTAGGGCACATTAGTCAATGCGGAAAGTCCATGTGTGCAGCTGCAGTTCATTTCTTTTCCCTCTTTTTTTGATTTGAGTGCCAAGTTTGTGAGGCTCAATCAGACTGGTGCTCCGATTCCCCTTCAGGGAACTTTTCTTTAGAAAGAGGGAAAATATCCATTTGCAGAATGACAGTTAAAATAGTATTCCTAGGTATCTTTCAATATAAATGGAACTTTTCAGGAAGAAACACAGGAACAAGATTGTTGTGATTATTTTCCTCCTGAAAGTAGGAGTATTTGTTTATATGGCAACATTAGACTCAGAGAGCATCTCAATTTCATTCCCAGTGGTCCCAGTATATCAGAAAACAAACACGTTTCTAGATGGGACCAAGGGAGCAGCCAGCCTCGGGGACGCTAGTTCCAACACCCAAGGTTTGTGGGCCCCAGAGTCCCCTGAAGCAGCTTGATCGAGCTCTCTATATGCTACCCCCAATTTCACCCACAGAAAGGCAGGCCCATGACCAGGTGAGAGACTTCTAGAAAACTGAGTTGTTGGCAAGTTTCTGATGCCAGTTCTGACACTGGACCCTGGTGAAAAGTAGGTGTGTGAAGAGCTGAGCCTCAGAGAGCAGATAAATGACCCCCTCCATCAGCACTGTGGGGTCACCGTGGACTCACCTGGACAGGGCTGTGTGCTGCAGAGAGCCTCTTCCGTGTGCAGCCCCAGGCAGATGTCCCCTCCGTAGGCTGGGGCTGGGTTGGTGCAGGAGCGGGTTCGCATGTAGTGGCCACCGCCACAGGTGGCCGAGCAGGTAGACCAGGAAGACCAGCACGACCACATGCCGTCCACTGGAAGGGACACAAGGTCACATGACTTGGGAAGCCCACAGACAACCAAGCGGACGCACTGCAGGGACCCCCCACTCCCCCCGCCCCACTGTGCCCGGGGTCCATGTCAGGGTCCCTGTCCCAGGGAGGGCTCGGGTTTGGCATGACTTTCCTCTGATTCACTCCAGGAAGAAGCCCAAGGATGGTGGAGGAACAGATGCATGACTGTGAACCGGGATTCAAGGCTGTTAATGTCCAGCTAGCTTGAATAGCATGACCCTGTTGTCCACACAAGACTTACTGTCAAGGAAAAGCAGCAGATTCCTTGGATTTGGATGGTGCTTTGTGTCATGACAAGGGGATAGAGAAGCTAATGGTCCTTGGTGGAAGGACGCTCCATAGACACAGGCACTAACGTGCCAAACAGTGCCAGCCCCCCAGCCCCTATCCCTCAGACTCCATATTTCTGTGAGAGAGCAAAGGGAGGATCATACCTATTGCAGCCAGGAGGATTGCCATGAAGGTTAAATGGGCACTGTGGGATGGACTCAAAAGGGGACCTGGTCATAGGCACTGGGCAGACATGGCCCCTGGGCTGTTTCCATTACTGTCCCTAACCTCGAATGTTTAGATTTCCTCATAAGGGGCTCTGGGTACTTGGCAGCCTTCCCCAGAGCTGGGGTTGGCCATTTCATCTGCATCAGGGTCACACTTCTTCTGTAACAGGGTGTATCTTATAGGAGTGTTTTTTTACTACAACTAGACTATCAAAATAAACAACAGAGGAAGACTACATATTCAAGGTGATAGCTACTCCTATCATCACACTCCCTCTCTCAGCTACATCCCAGGAAGCTGAGAAGCTGACAGACAGCAACTCTTGGATGGTATGGTATTGATTTGAGTTCACATCTCAATAAATGCTTTTACCATTTACTCTCTGATCTGGTCTAAATCCATTCCCCCCAAACCCACACCAATTGTTCTCCTGGTATCCCGTGAACTGGAACAGAATTGTTTGGTGTTTAACACAGAGAACAGTTCTTCTTTAAAATAGAAGCAGTTGGGGGAACCATTTGCAAAAGAGCCTGGTTCCCAAAATATTCCCACACGTCCCCTGAACCATAAGGTCAACTGTACCTCTCCAGTTTTAATTTCGATTTCATTGCTCTCAGGGACATATTAAGAACTAGAGAACAGGTGCTTCCAGTGCAGGGGAAATTAAAGAGGAAGGCACCCACATTCACAGCACCATTTTCATGGGTCTAATTGCCCCATGTCCCTGAAGCAATTCGAACCCAACCCCACTCCAAGAAGACTAGAGTGTCATTTCTTCATAGTTATTCTACATTCCTCCTGCATGATCCAATTTATTTTCTCCAACACTCTCAACTTTATCCTTGCATTACAGTTTCAACTTCCTCCTCGAGAGCTCTGGGGATGAAGAGCAAGGGGGTTGGTATTGGAGGAGAACGGTGGCTGAGTTCTGTCCTAAGGTTTCATATCAGGAAGGCTGCAGTAGTTTTGAAGTAGAAATGGCAGAATGGAGGGCAGAACAGTGAACAGAACAGAATAACAGAATTGCTGGGTTAGTCTTCAGGGCCGAAGAGCTCTGGGTGAACAGGGATATTGGAAGGCAAGGGAGTGATGTGGCTCACGTGGCAGCCCACAGCCATGCAGAGATACTGAGCAACATCAATGGTGTTTGGAGGTTATTCCCACCTGTGTACTCAGAAGTGACCCTTGGTGTTCCCCAGGGATTATCTGCTACTCTGGGGGATTGCATCAGGTCAGCCACCGGCAAGGCAAGCACCTTCCTTCCTATATGATCTATCTAGCCTAAACTACAGTTGAAAAAAGCATTTTATATTAATAAAATTGGTTTCAGTCTGGCTTCAGATCATGATGAGAAAACTTTTTTTTTTAACCACATCCAGTGGCACTCAGGGCTTAATTCTGGCTGACTCTGAACTGAGGGATCACTCCTGACAGGCTCCGAGGATCATACGAGGTGCTGAACCGGGGTCATTCGTGTGCAAGGCAAATACCCCACCCTCTGTACCCTCTGTACTCTGCTCCCAATTGTTTTAAATTAAAGACACCATCCAGTGGTAACTCCAGTCCATGGAGGCAACAGGACAAAGCAAGAATAACACCACAGAAAAGAGAAGAAGTGAACTGGGGTAGGCAGGCCGAGCAACTCTGGGGGCTTCCTCGCAGCTGAGAGGGGGGTGCCACTCGTCTTACCCACCCCTGCGCTGGCCCTGGCACAGAGTAAGGTTACAGGGACTCTGGATCTTTCCACAACCCTCTATGGAATCTGGGCTTCCAGGGAGAGGATGGGGACAGGGCTATTTTAAGACACGAAGGTTATGTACATATGACATTGGCCTGACCACCAAATCTACTAAAAGAAACCCGTCAGCCGTTCATGTTAACAGCTCTCGAGATGAGAGCTGAGCTTTGCACTCAAGGTCCAACCACGCATGTGGGTGCTATGGATGTTTCTGTCATCAGCACCGACAGCTTGTGGCTGGGGGCTGGGAGCGGGGGTGCGAGCAGCCGCCTGACATTCCTGTGTGGCCTTGCTTAGGCTGTTAGCCTAAAACCCCATGCTCGTAATCTCACCCCAGGCACCCCGCCCAGATCCAGGGGAGGAATCCTGCCACTCTCCCTACTGAATTGTGGGAACGATCTGCCTCTGTGACCTTTCCCAGCCCCCAGATTGGGGGCCAGGAAATCTGGATGGTGGAAGGGAAGAGGTTCTGGAAGCTAGAGAATTTTTTTTTGTTTTTCCTTGAATATGCATCTGTGTCTCTTTGCTTGCTTGTTCTTTCAAGTTTGTGGCCTCTCTTGCACACACATTTCTTTTCTTTTCACCCCCTCGCATCTTTCTAAGGAAGTTGTGTTCAATAAAAACTATCTTGCTTGAAAAAAAAATTTGGAACTGGTGCATTTGTAATCACATTTATTTATCTTATTGACATCTTATTATGACATCTTATTATCTCATTCCTACTTTGGACAAACTGGCAGGTTACCGAATGTAGCCTGCCCACATGGCAGAGTCTGGCAAACTCCCCGTGGCATACCCAATATGTCAAATACCAGTAACAATGATGGGTGTCATTCTCCTAAAGAGCCTTGAATATAATCTCAGGGCTAGGATGAAGGAGACATTACAGGGGCCTGCTCGAGGCAATTGACGAATAACAGGATGATTTATGATTTTGTGATTATTTATCTAACTATCACTGCTTCACCTCTCTACTCCCACTCACATCCAGAAGTTCATCCATCATCCACCCATCCACATATTAATTTACTCATCTACATCCCATTCATCTGCCTTCCCACCATCAAATTATGTATAAAATTATAATTATTATATATTCCCCATCCGGCCAGCCACTGACCAACCCACTCGTAACACATCTATTTACCATCACCCAACTCACTGATCTCCTCCTATGTTCATCCACTTATCACCTGCTCCTTGTCCAAGGATCCATTCATCCAACCTATCGATCTTTGCAACAAATGCCCCCTGGGCTCCATGATGTGCCAATTCCTTGCACAAAGAGCTCAGACACTTGCTTGTGCCTCTAAAGAGGCTGCTCCACTTCCCAGTTTTTGTGCCTTTCAAATGCTGCTTCTGGGTTGGAAATGATGCCCACCCCATCTCGGCTTGTCTATCCTGTCATAGCTGGTCTGTCTGTCCAGTCCTATTGGTCCCTCAAGTCTCAGCTGAGGCAGCTTTGGTTCCATGTGATTCCACCATGATTCCAGGTCCTTGGCTGACAAAGCCACTGCCTCACGTTCCTAAGCACACGGGTGACCCTTGAGATCAACAAGGCTCCCGCGGGTCTTCTCTGCCCTGGCCTGGACGTGTCCTCCCTCCCTTGGGTCCCATCTGCTTGCTGTGACCCATGGCACTGTGTCCTTGCTCTACTCTGTGACTGACACTCAGTGGTGGGCGTCTAAACAGGTCCAAACAGGTCTGCTGAGAAAGCAAATGAATGGAGCTTGGTGTAGGCTAGCAGCACAAGGGTTCCAGAGCCCGACGTTTTAATTCTCAATTTATCAAGATACTATCATATACTTTTTTTTTTTTTGCTTTTTGGGTCACACCCAGCAATGCACAGGTTTTTGAGGAATTATTCCTGGCAGTGCTCAGGAGACCCTATGGGATGCTGGAAATTGAACTAAGTTAGCTGCATGCAAGGCAAATGCCCTACCCACTGTGCTATCATTCCAGCCCCACAATGATTTATTTCCAGAGTGTGCCAAGCCTAGATATGGAGGCATCGTGCGCAGTAGAGTGCAGCCTTCGGGATACGGGGGACATGTCAGGTCAAGCCCCCAACTGTGGGAAGATGGGGGTGGCCATAAAGAGCTGCTCCCAGGGTGCATGCAGGAGGAGGCTGAGAGGCTGGCAGGCTGGCGAAGGCAGAGGAGGCTGTGCAGCTCTTGGTGGCATGCGCTGCGCTGAACCAGGGCTGGTGTGGGAAGGGAGGGCATGTCCGAGGGGCAGCCCCCAGACCACATGCCTTCCACCAGCCCCCGGGGGGTGGGGTGGGCAGCTGTGCATCTGTAGAACCCATCTCAGGAGAAAGTGACCTGCATGCTAGGCCCTCGTGGGTCATCTCGGCGCACTGGTACCCGCAGGAGTGTGCGGGGTATGGAGGCTGAGCCCTGCTGACTAGAATAGAGCCAGGCTGCAGACCAGGCAGCGTGATACTGTCCTGGCCGGGGATCCGGGACAAGCACCCACATAGGGGCCCCCAAAGGTGCTCCAGCTTCTGGCCAATCAGAAGAACTATTGGAAGGTGACCAGGCCGCATCCCATTTTATACCGCACAGCTGGAAAGCCTGATCTGCCATTGAGACACGCACACGCTTGTACATAGCTCGCAATGGGTCGGAGGGAACTGAGGGGGCACCCCCAGGCCCTGGGTGTCTCTGCCCTTCCCCAGGCCATTGGGTCACTCACCTGGGCAGGGCAAGATGTTGCACTCCTGGTACTCCAGGGATGGGCCCAGGCAGGGCAGACCCCCGAACTTGGGCTCGGGGTTGTTGCACACGCGCTTCCGGTTCCGGATGCCCCGACTGCAGTCCCGGCTGCACTGTGACCAGGAGGTCCAGGCAGACCAGGCCCCGTTGACGGTGTGGGCCGAGTAGCGCCCGGCACGCAGGAAGTCGCCAGAAAGGCCTGCAGGAGACGGATGCGTCAGCGGATGACCACGGCCTGGACACACTCGCCTTCTGTCCAGTTTGGACTCACTCAGCTCTCAAACTCGAGTGACTGCTTTCGAGACTTCGGAGGTGCACCCACACCACACACAAACACCACACACACACACCCCACACACACACAAACACCAGACACAAACACCAGACACACACAAAATCACTACACACACAAACACCACACACACAGAAACACCACACACATACACACACAAACACCATACACACCACACACACAAACACTACACACATATGCACAAACACCACACACATACACACAAATCACAAACATCCCACACACATATACACACACAAACACTCCCCACACAAACACCACACACACACACAAATACACACACATAAATACTACACACACATATACACAAACTCCACACACATACATACACACAAACACCACAGACATATACACACACTACAGACATACACACATACACAAACATCACACACACACAGAAGCTGCAGTTGGGCACCCCTGCCTCAAAGTCACAATTCTTACTCTCTGATGGCCACTACATCAGTGCAACCAGGAACACCAATTTGTGAATGTGGCCAAGCCAGCGCCGGTCTTGGTCTTCAGGAGATCTGATTCTGAAGTGACTTCCCACGAAGCAAGTCACAGACACTTATCCCGAACACAATGCAACTCTCACTATACATATGCCTCAGTCCCCCTTGGGTGGGGCTCACCAGGCTCCACATGCTCTTGGAAACGTGGATGAGTGGGTCACATGTTTCTAAAGCCGTGCCTTCACCTGCTTATGTTCCATAGCGAACTTGGGTTAGGGGAAATCAAGGAGTTTACTGCACCCAAAGCACAGAGCTTAAGGTCCAGAACCCAAGAGGTTCCCAAATGGCTTTTCCCCATCATTGTCATCTGTCCTGAAGTCTGAAAGGCACCTCAAAGCCGCGGTGCTTCCCAAGGAAGAAGGAGAACAGCAGAAGTGACAGCATCTGCTTACTCTCTCTCTCTCTCTCTCTCCCCCTCTTTCTCCTCTCTCTCTCTCTCTCTCTCAGTATGGGGTTGCTGGTAAGTCATTCTTCCTGGGTCAGGTCTGCACTAAGTAACCAGAGACTAAGTTCTCACTTATGCAGATAAACATATCTAACCACTTATAATACAAAAAAATAAAATCAATATAGTTCTTAAATATCAATGCAAGACAAAGATTTATCAAACAATTCTTAAACTGTGCAGCTTGCTCTAGACTTGTACAAGGAGGCCAACAGGTCTCTCATTATTAAGCTACTTCATGGTTTATTTAACTTCTGCCCAGAACCCTCGATGGAGGCTTCTGCAGAGCAAATGTATGATAAACTTCTTTCTGTGGTGAACAAGCACTCTATAGTCAGTGGAGACCAAGCACGCACAGTTAAGCCTCATTCCGTGTGGTCTCTGCAAACAGAGTCCCGCTCTGCTTTCCTAAGGTACCAACAACAAATTGTGTGGGTGCTCCTTGAAACCTGAAGCCATTCACACAAGAAGGTTTCCTACATTTAATTGATACCCAGGACAAACTTCTGGCAGAAACATGGAATTTCTTTTATAAATGTATATTTGATTTTTTCCAAGGTTTATATTATTAACATTTAAAATAAATATTAGCTTTGGTTTTGTCTGTACTGGGGAATGGAAGAATAAAAAAAAAGAACTATGTCTGTTCTACAAAGAGAATAGAGTTGCTGGACTTTCAATCATTTACTCTCTCTCTTTTATGTTTTGATGGGGGCATCATCCTAAGTAATGTTGGGATGGGGTCCAGGGACCAATTGCTGGGGTTGTGAACCAACCAGGCTGGTGGTTCAATGCAAAGACCAAAAGAATAACAAGGATGCCGCAGTGGTGCTCTTGGGGCCACACAAGTGGTGCTTGGAGGATGCCAGGCTACAAATGATGATGCTCAGGGTACCATGAGATGCTCACACAAGGGTCAGTGGCATGTAAGGCAGGCACCCTAACAATGATACAATCTCCCAAGCTCTACTTTCTCTTCTTGTTTTTAATTTGGTTTTGCTTTGGGGGACACATCTGGCAGTGCTCAAGGTTTACTCCTGGTTTGGTGTTCACAATCACTCCTGGAAGTGCTTGAAGGACCATATGTAGTGCTAGGAACTGAAATGGGTTGGCTGCATGCAGGGCAAATGCCCTAACTTCCATACTATCTCTGACTCCCATTTTCTCTTCTCTGTTTGCCTGTATCTAAAAGAAGATAGCTCCTTCTAATCAGTCTGAAATCAGAGGACTAGTGAATGAGTTAGAGACAAGCTGCCAGACTCAGAAAACAAAACATAGGGGTTCAGTTCAAGTTAGATTTTAGAGACATAAGGGTTGGAGCGATAGCACACCGGTAGGGCGTTTGCCTTGCATGCAGCCAACATGGCCAACCTGAGTTCAATTCCTCCGCCCCTCTTGGAGAGCCCGGCAAGCTACCGAGAGTATCTCGCCTGCACAGCAGAGCCTGGCAAGCTACCCGTGATGTATTTGATATGCCAAACACAGTAACAACAGTCTCCAATGGAGACGTTACTGGGCCCGCTCGAGCAAATCGATGAACAACGGGAGGACAGTGACAGTGACAGTGAAGACATCACTGAATGTGTATAGCCCAAGAACTGCAGGGGGCATTTTTAGACACTAAGACATAGTCGAAATTCCAAGTTAACTGGGCTCTTTGCATTTTGATCTCCTGGCCCCAATGAATCACAAGATCATCTTGCATGTAATATAAATCTTTAAAATGGTTGTTTAGTTATTTATCACTTGGTATTTCATGACATATTTCTTCTAATTACAGTAGGATTTTACAAAATTTAGAAGAGTCAGTGTCATTTTGCAAATTTTCATAATGGATGGCATTTTTTTGGTTTGTTTTAGCTAATTATAGGGTTATCTTTCATTAAAGCAGATTATTCCACCCTGGCTTTACCTAGAAACAATAGAAAGTAGAGTCTTGTTGCTTAACGACAGTGAGCAGAATGGCTTGAGATGGGAGACAGTTTCAACAAGAACAACACCCCCAGCAGTAGCTCCTAAGACCAACTGTGGGTCTCCAACTTTAAGGCTGGCAGCTCCAAGTTGCTTGAGCTATTCACCAGCTCCTGGGGGAGAAACATAAGTAAGAGGCTTATATACAGCTGGCGCCCTCCTCAGAGTTACTCCCTGTGGTAGATTCTCTCCCAGACACAGATTTATGCATCACTGTCACTGTCACTGTCCTCCCGTAGTTCATCGATTTGCTCGAGTAAGGCCCAGTAACGTCTACATTTTGAGACTTGTTGTTACTGTGTTTGGCATATTGAATACAACTCGGGTAGCTTGCCACGCTTTGCTGTGCAGGTGAGATACTCTCGGTAGCTTGCCGGGCTCTTCGAGAGGGGTGGAGGAATCGAACCTGGCTCGGCCGGGCTGGCTGCACGCAAGGCAAACACCCTATCATGAGACCTTTTCCACCCCCATCAGCTGCTTGGTGACTCCTAGCTCTGTGGTTTCTTCACAAAGCCAACCACCAAGGTTCCTTCTCTAGAATTGATGTAGACAATGTTTTCTATGTTAATTATATATTATGTTGGAACCATATGCTAGAACCCTAAATACTAACATGCTGAGAAAGATTCATGGTGCTTTACAATGCTCAGAGGCTCCAAAAGAGGGCTTATTTTTACTCTGAGATCTGAAAAGAAGCCTTCAAATTTGATGAGGTTGTTAGAGGGAAGGAAGAAGGAAGCAAAACTAGTTATTAAAGTGACGGGCCCATGTCCGTGCTATGGAGACAGGCGAGCTCCAACAATGAGTTCTGGAGAACCGAAAACCATTCAGGGCCAAGTTTGATGGGTCTTCTGGTATACCTGGTAGCTTTCCCCATACTACTTAATAAGATAAGCTCAGGATCCACGTAATTATATGGTCAAGCAATACCAAAGCATCTTCAGAGACCATCACCTTGGTACAAACAAAAATGTTTGTTGTGTCATTTGGGGATGAATAACAGAAATGATTATCTTCAGTTTGAACATTAGTGCCAGAGGAATTGTCGGAGATCACCGAACCTTCTTCAATACATATTTTGATATTAAATAAATCCCCATGAATCATGATAACCTACTAAAAATATACTATACATATACTATAAATGTTACAATCTACAGATGATTGAATTTACCGTATCACCTAATATATAACTACCATTTGTAGTATAGGGCTTCCCATCAATGGACCAGAGAGTCAGTTATTTTTGAGGAGAATTGTTAAAAAGGCTGGCCACAAATCATCTACATTTAAAATCACTGAAAATTTCCTCCTTGTTCTCCCATAACCTTTGAGAAAGTCAAAGTTGGGTCCCTAGTCATGAGCTGGTCCCCAGGGTCACCACTCACCATCTGTGGAGCAGCCGCTGGTGCCATCACTTGAACAATACCGCATCTCAATTCTCTGCCTCCCCACTTCCAGCAGATTGGGGTCGGGCAGGCGGGCTTTGCAGGTGTACCGGAACCGCTGCTCATAGTGGCCACCATTGTCTGAGATGTTGACAGGTGTCCAGGGCGTCCATGGCGTGGTCTTCTTTAACTCTGGGCATGGGTTAGTGTTACAAGGCTGGTACTCCTGGAAGGGCAGAGGCGTGTGCTCATCACAGGGCAGAGATGGGGTGAGGGCTTCCCCCCTTTACGGGAAGGCTGGACCCTCTAAGCTGCAGATGCTGACACCAACCGGAGTTTGCTTTCTCTGACCAGGTGGGGAGGCGGGGGGCACACCCGGTGATGTTCAGGGTTACTCCTGGCTCTGCACCCAGGAACTCCTCCTGGCAGTGCTCTGGGGACCATATGATGGTGGGGATTCAACCCAGATCAGCTGCATGCAGGGCAAGTGCCTGCCCACTGTATTATTGCTCTGGCCTGAATCAGAATTCACTTTACAACGTTACACACACACATACACATTTCATGATAATGTGCTTTCACAGAAATGTGCAGTGATCAAGACAACTCCTACTGACACCGCATGGTTTTTCTGTGTCAACCATGAGAAAGGAGTAAATTAATTTTAAGCAGCTAAAATGGTGACTCGTCTATGCAGCTGAAAAGAATGATGAAATCCTGCAACTTGCTGCCACCTGGGTGGAGCTGGAGGGTGTCACTGAGTGGAGGGAGCCAGAAGGACGAAGCACAGGATGATCCCACTTCTCTGTGGTGTATGGAATATCAGGTCGAGGGAAAGCACTGCAGGGAAGTGGTAGTGTGAGGTCACCCTTGACCTGAGAGTGCGGGAAGAACAAGGTCAGGGAAAGAAATAGACTGGGCTGAGGGAATGGCAGAGGCATGGGTGAGAATTATCAGGGGCATATCAGAGTGTAGAGGTGCGGTATCTCAACGGACATAAACCACAGAGCCAACACCACTGACAGGAGGAGATCCAAAGGACAAACATGCCTGTCAGGGAGGCAGGCTGGGGATGGGAGGGACCTGGGGGGCCCTGAGGGTTGTGAGGTTGTTCAGCATTCACCTTACAACATCACACACACATTGCATGATAATATGCTTTCACAGAAATGCCAGAATATCAACGAACTAAGAATAATGTTGCAAATAACAGCACCTAATAAGAAGTCTTTAAAAATTAAAAATAAAAGTGGGGCTGGAGTGATAGCACAGCGGGTAGGGCATTTGCCTTGCACGCAGCCAACCTGGGTTCAAATCCCAGCATCCCATATGGTCCCCAGGAGTAATTCCTGAGTGCAAAGCCAGGAGTAACCCCTGAGCACTGCCGGGTGTGACCCAAAAAGCAAATAAATAAGTAAAAAATAAATAAAAAATAAAGAGTTAAATAAATGTAAAAGGGTGATCCCACATACATCACCTTTCTTTTACCCAATAAAAATATTAAATGCTGGGGGCGGGGGAGAGTATTAGTACACCAGGAAAATCCTTGCCTTGCATGTGGGTGACCCAGGCTCAGTTTGAGCTCTGGCACCCCATATGTTCCCCTGAGACCCCCAGTAGTAATCTCTGACTGCAAAGCCAGGAGTAAACCTTGAGCATTGCTGTGTATGCCCCCAACTTCAAATTATAAAAAAAGGAAATGGAAGCAAAAAAAAAAAAAGGAAAGGAAAAAAAAAACCCCAGAAACCACGATGCTTTTATTCCAGTGTTAAGCTTAGCTGTTTCCTTTGAAAGACTTAACGCTAATGGCGTGGACCCAGAATTGGCAGTATTAGACCATCTATGTCCAGTTTAAGATGGATTAATAGCTTATAAACTGGGACCACATATTTAAAATATGAGGGTGCTAAGAAGTACCCCAAGAAAACACCATAAATGTGAAAAGTTCTCAGTTACCAGTAAAAAGCAAACAGTTATGCTTAAGAAGTTCTGACACTGATATTTTGATGTTTTTCCATTTCTGTTCTCTCTCTAGAGGTGCTTTTTTCTTTCTCTTTGGGTCACACCCAGTGATGCTCAGGGGTTACTCCTGGCACTGCACTCTGGAACTGCTCACGGGAGTGCTTGGGGGACCATGTGGGATGCTGGGAATTGAACCAGGGTCAGTTGTGTGCAAGGCAAATGCTCTCCCCATTGTGCTATTGCTCCAGCCCCTAGAGGCTCTCCTCTATGTGTGCCAGTAAGCAGAGGACAGGGAACTGGGTGGACGAGGGTGTAAAGGTCCAGCAACAGCGCAAGGTGTGTTGGGATACAAGTGTAGGCTTCAATAGCTAAAATGCGCTACATGTTCTTAATGGTTTACTTGGTAGGAGTGGACAGTGAGGAGCACGGGAGCAGAGTGAGGGTGGAGGGAATGAGCTCAGGGTGGCGCTAGGTTGCAGAGCCCCGCCCTGCCAGTCAAGAATGCCTCCATACAGAACTCCTGCACCTAACAGCCTTTTTCCGAAATAAAGATATAGATAAAACAGCCACCAAGCAGCACAGAGAGGTTTTTTTTTTAAAGGAAAAGAACACTGCTCCATCCTTTCCCCATCTCTTAGCTGAGTAGATTTATCAGTTCAAAACTCCGATGAGCATGCTGTGTGCATGCATGAACTTGGGAGCAGGTTGTGAGTATGAGAGCTCACTCTCCACCCCACTGTTTGCCCACTCCCACAGCCTGGCAGAGCTCAGTCTGCAGGGCATCCAGTGCGGGGTGGGGTGGTGCCAGCAGGCTCTCTCCACAGCTGGCCCTGTCTTTTGCTTTCAAACACAGGGCCACGCCTGTCGCTCCCCTCTCAAACACACACTGCTGCTTAGAATATGGCTGTTTCGTTTCTTTGAACTTGCCCTGAATTCATCCTCTATGAGGGACTGGGGCATAGTCAGACTGGCCCGGGTGTGTGTCCCCATGTCCGGTTCGCTACATGGTCCTCAGACAGTCTGCAGTGAGGTCCAGCAGGCGTCCATGTGCGTGGGATGACCACACTCCCGGTTCTACTCGGGAGCTGGTTAAAATACTCTGTAAATATTCTGCTTATTCTAGCTCATTTTCACTTTCTCCACTGTTTCTAGGGGACAGTTCTCAGGAATTCTCAGTGCTCTCAGGGGCTTTAACAGAAGACAGACAAGGGGGTGGTCAATGCCGCCACTCTGCTTGACCACCAGTTCCTCCTGGCCCACAGCTGCCGCCCCATCCCTGTGCTTACACCCTGGAAAGATGGATGGCTTCATTTATCTTGGTTGATGGTTATTTTTTATTATGGCACAGAATGCTCCTTCTTAAATGAAAAAAAAAAATAGCCCCAAAGGACGCCATAAACTCAATTGTGCAAAAAACTAGGCAGAATGAACAGAGGAGAGCTGGTTCTCCAGGAGAAATTGGAGTTAGGAGATCAGAAGCATTGAGGCCAGGGACGATCCAGGCCTGTGGTGCGGCAGCTCATCCCTCACCCACCCAGACCCATCCCACCCACTGCCCCCTCATCACTCTTGCCAGCTCAGCTGGAAGAGTCCAGGACTAACTCAGAACAATGCAGTGCGTAGACTCTATTTTATAAGTGCATGCGTTTAAACACAGATGAGTCTGACATTACCTACACAATTTGAAGGTTCCACCATTAATAAGAAAATGTGGGGAAGATGCCCAGTAACATTTTCAGTACGCTAGAAATTCCATCTCTTCTATTTTGGGGGTGGTGATGGGGAGAGGGCACATCTGGAAATGCGCAGGGGCTATACTCCTGGCTCTGCACTTAGGAATTACTCCTGGTGGTGCTCAGGCAAACACTCTCCCCACTGTACTATTGATCCAGTCCCGAAATTCCATCTCTTTTATGGAGATGAGTTTTCTTACTGCAATATGCAGGATATTTCTAGCTGGCTCATGCGTAGGCAGCTGGGGACCATGTGACCTGGAGGTGGGCGTGGCTTAAAGGAGGGCAATATGGGTTCATCAATGCAACCCTTGGAGAGAAAATCTATTCTTCTGTTCACGGTTTCCTCTTCAGACAATATTGAATAGAGATGCAAGGTTCCTTCCCACTACTGATTGAGGTTGGATTCTGATGCGTTCAATTAAAATATCTAATTAAGAGTGGCTGAGGAATGGTGTGACTAGTAAGCTTTATATTTATGACTCAAATTATGAAGTGATTTAACTCACTGGTGAATAGGTACGTCGTTTAACTAAATTTGTGAGCTGCAATTTACTGATAAACACTGGTCTAGCCATTCCGATCTGAATAGACTTTGAATAGCAAGAAAGCTTCATGCCAAATAAAGGAATTTAATTTTAAACAGAGTTTCAGGAAGTTAGTGTGACTTATTTTTAACACATAGAATTATTATCTTGGTGGGAAATAACAGATTAGAAGGCTGGCTGAAATCAATCCTATTTCTGGGTATATCCAAAAGAATTAAAGTAATGAACTCACATGTCCCAAGGTCAATGCCGCACTATTCACAAACAAGACAAACAAACAAACGAAAACGAAACTGATGGGTGAATGGAAAGATAAGATGCAATACAAATATATGCATGGATGTAACTAGAATGTTAGCCAGAGGGAGAAAGGGCATCTTTTGATTTGCAACAACTTGGATGGCACCCGAAGGTATTATGTGCTAAATAAGGGAAGTCACACTGTGAAAGATGAATTCTGGATGTTATGACTTACATGTGACATCAACAAAGGACAAACTCAGAGAAACTGGGAGTACAGTCGTGGGTCCTGAGGGTTCAGGGTGGGTGGAAATGAAGAGCTCTTAGCCCAAGAGCACAAACCTATGCTTCTAGTGGAGCAAATCTGACCAAAAGTGGTGATTTCATCACCTGTTCGCGGATGAGTGTCAGTGCACATGTATAAAGAGGTTAAAAACCACTGATGAATGGCACTGCACACTGATCACAGCTAATCATCCTCCAGCACACACTGGGATGCTGCTAGGAGAGCAGAATTCACATGTTCTCATCATAGAGAGCAAAAAATTTTTGTGCTGTCATGGGGGTGGTGGCTCACACAATGTGGAAATCACTTTGCAATCTATAAAGTTGTAAACCTTGAACAAATACCTTATTACTTGTCAATTCTATCTCAGTATGGATGGAAAAAATAAACAGTTGATACAAGGACAAAATAAGTGGTCAAGAATGAGTTGAAGACCTGGGGCTCTCAGAGTGATGCA